GATACAAATATTTTGATTTTATTTTTATATTTAAAAAGAGATTTACATAGTAATTTCGACTTTAGTTCGTTCTGGTATTTGTACTGTTAAATACATTTATTTTACTCCATGTACTTTCAAATTTTATTAATTCGCGTTCCTATATTTTCAAAGTGCCTATTTTATGTTTTATGTATTTTTCAAAGTGACCTAGTCATTATTTGCAAAATTTTTAATACAAGTTTTATACCGAATGAAAAGTTTTTAATACAAGTTTACAGCAACCTTTCAATAAATGTTGTGAATAATTGTATCTAACACCATGATCAAAATAATGAAATGAAAATGAAAATGAATGGACAAAAATGATGAATTTTTAAAATTTCAACAACCAAATTAATTGTCTCGAAAGCACAGAGACTAAAATGGACCAAATTTGAAAGTACAAGATGAACCATAGTCGAAAATACAATGATCATAGTATTTAAATAATAGTATTGTCATTTTTTTAGTATAACAATTTGAAGATATGAGAGATCGAACTTCCGTCTACGTGCCAATTATTGTTGAGTTGCTTGTATTATTATTATTATTATTATTTTTTTGGTTTCTTTTAACGCATAAGATCATAGGTTTAAATAACGTTCTGGATTGCAGTGATATAGACATAATGACGTGGAATAAGAATTTGTACAACTAAATCATAAATTGATTTGATGATAAAAAATATATTGGACAAAAATTTCGATTAATTATTGTACGGAACCCCTGCTGCTTCATAAATAAATGTCAAAATCTCCCTTTATTAAATAAATAATAAATGGTGTAAGTAAAGAAGAAACTGTGGACGTCTAAGTATTATAGGGACAGTCTAGCTTGCCAAATTCATATTTATATATTTATTTTATATTTCACGTATATTCATTCTATTCTTTTAATTTATTAATATTAATAATTTCAACATTAATAACTAATGTTAATTAAATGTACTAATTTTTTCAAGCAGGCGCTGTAAAGAAATTGACATATCGCTAGTCTAGACTATATTTTTTTAATACACAATCAAATTAAGGTTAAAAAGTATAATTCATCATTGTATTTTCATGAAGGTAACGATTTAGTCTCTGAATCTTGAAAATTAGTAACAATTTAACAGTAACGACTAAAATTTATATTAGTAACGAATCGTTATTTTTCAAACGTCATGGACTAAATCGTTACTTTAGTGAACAGGGACCAGATGTATTTTTTAACGTATATAGATGAAATTAGTTGGTTAAATATACTGAATGATTGTCTAATTTATTATGTAATTCTTAATTTGATACTAAATCTTTAAAATTTTCAAATTGTATTCCGTGATTGTAGCAAATAATTGATCGGAATCCCATTCATTTTTTGTTGAATTAACCGATCAACTCCTAACTACGGTATTTCATAAAAAATAATATTAAAATTTTTTTAAAAAAATTATTTTATTATTAAATTATTATTTTTTGCCAACATTTGGAACATGTCATTTGGATTTGGATGTTACTTGCCCCATAAAAAATCATCATTAAAATTAGGAAATTTTTTATACATATTTTTCTGTACACCATTTTTCTTACTAACAAATTTAAATAGATTTTTGTTTTTTTTAATAAATGACCTAATTGCCCCTTGAAAATTTTAAAACATTCAAAATCAATATTAATGATTGACTTAAAAATCAAAAGCTAATTAAATCTAAATATTTAATGGTTGAATTTAGTTGGATCTATTTTTTGCTTTTTGAGTATTAAAAAGTGGGAGGTAAAGCTTCGAATTCATGACCTCTTAATTAAAAGACATATGTCAATTACCGCTGAGTTAAGTTAATACTGACAGTTTAGTTCATTATTTAATAAGAATTGTATGGATATAATAAATATTACGATCCAAACATTGTTTGGATTAGAAAAGTATTATAACCTAACTAAATCAATAACCTACAAGTATGAAAGTACATAATTTATAAGATAAATATAAAAATATTTAAAATAAAAGGTTAATTAAAATGAATTAGAAAGGGGGACAGGCAGGTTTTGCAGGTGTTTGGATGTGGGGAGAAGGATGTGAGACGTGACGGGGAGGGGACGGCGTTGGCTTTCAGTCTCTTTATTTTTCACTACTAATTATTATTTATTACTTATTTTATACAAAAGCCGGCGCTGCCGTTGCCGTTGCCGTTGGCGACTAAATGAAGTTTAATTACTTTTTTTTTTGTCACACATTAATTAATACTTAAATCTACTCCTTTAATCATTTGCCACCTGGCATTGTCAAATAGGGTAAGTGAGGAAAAATTAAGTGGGAAAGAAATATTAAATTTGGAAAATTCAAAATTCAATATTTATACACAAAATGTGTATCAATTTTTCCTTTTACCGTGATTTTTAAATTTTATAAAATTACAAATAAAACTTGGAGATGAATGTTCTAATTGTTACCTTAACCTTGAAAAGAGGTTATAATTTGTACCTAAGTAGGATTTTCGTGTGAATAATACGTTAAAATTTAACGTAATATCATGTGTTGAATTGATTATAAAAATGTATTTATGGTATATGAAATTAATGAAATTTTAGAAAATAAAAAATGGTATTATACTTTTTTTTTATTAAATGTTTGGGAATTTTGTAAAATTGGTCCAATTTAATTTGGTGTAAATATTGATTTTCATTGAAATTAGTAAACTTTGAAAATTTTTTATATTGTTTGTTTTTTTTGTTAGAATTAATGGATGAATTAGCATAAAATTAACAAATGATAAAAATTACAACACTCACAAGTTTACAATTTAAATTTCTCACATTTTAGTCATGATATATGAACTAGACAAAATTTGGATAATATTAAAAAAAAAATCATCCCATTTATTTATTAACTAGCATTCTTATTTTTTAAACATAATTTTAATATTTTAATTAAAAAAAGCCATATCAAAACAAGCCCTGAATTTAATTGTCAATGTGAGCACAATTACTACCTTTCAAAAATCTTTTCAAAATATAAATCAAATTTTGAAAACTAAAAAAATACATTTGAGCATATAAATCAGGGTTTGAATCCCACCCTCTTATTTTGTGATACTAGAAAAAACCCAATTTTAAAATTTTAAAATTTTTATAAGATACATTTTTACTTCGTACTATTTAAATCTACAGTTCAGAATTGATGGGAAAAAAGATATCGTGATTTATTTTATTATCCACTAACATATATATATTATTAACAACATGGAAAATGACAGTATCAGTACAGACATCATATTATATCATTTAATTTACATTGAAAAATATCAGATTAAAGTGGACTCAATAATTACAGAATGAAAAAATATGTAAGAATATTAAAGTGGAATGTTGCCACAATAATTTTAACCCTTTTTCTTTTTTGTTTTGACAGCTAAGAATTTGAACATTCAAACTTAAAAATGGTTAAACATACCTCCTCTCTAGTGTCAAATACCACGTTAAACATGATTAAGAATCATAAATTTTAATTCCATGGATTAAGGTAAATATTTATATTAGATATCTAACCGAAAAAATCTAATGTCTTTTAAAAAAAAAAATAAAAATACTATTTTGATAATGATATTTTTCAATCATTTTAGTCTATATACTCTAAAAAAAATATTTTTTGATATCTGTGAGTGTTCGATCGCATCTCGACTAATTTCACGGGACAGCCGCCTGACCTTACAATATTTGGTGTCAGGAATCAAAACATATATTTTAGTATATATACTTTTAAAAACCAACTATTTTGGTATTTTTATTTTTGCTTTTATCTCATTTATTCAAATCACAATTTTAGCACGACACTTTACTCACAAAACTTATTGAAATGTAGCCATAAATTTGTACCAAATGATTTCCATATAAAATTTGTGTTAAAAGTTTCCATTTCTTAAAGAAGTAGAGAGACAAGTCAAATATTTTGAAACTATAAGGTATGTGAACAAAATAAATATATAGATCGGGATGAACGTTCTGAAGGCATATAGATCAAAATGAATAAAAGCTAAAAGTAAAGCTAACAAAATAATTTTTTTTATAAAATTATGATAATATATATATATATATATATTATTTAATTTCATAAAATGTAAAAAAAGTGAGAGTCCCATCATCTAGTCATGGGAAAAAAAAGGCATTTATGGTGGTATTCAATGAACCATTTATGGTGGTCCATATATCACAAGGGAAATTTCATACCCTATTACCTTAAATCTGCAATTATTCAATTTTCCACTCCATTATCATCAACATATTGTGCCGCTTTATTTGATGGATATTGGATGGATTTTGTGAGACACACGTATCAATATTTATGGTGTATTTTTATTGTGGTACAGATACAGGTGATGTAAACTTTGACATCAAGGAGTACATACCAATCATCAGTGAGCTATGTTCATATTAGCATTTATGGTATATTTTGTACTCAAAAAATATTTATGATATTTTTACAATATTTTTTATCTTTATTTTTCACGGATCGGAGCTAGAACCGAAGGCCCGTTGATTTTTTGAAGTCTTGCGAGGAGCCTAAACAACGATTCTCCACCTCGTTTTAGGCAGGTCTAGTAGTTCCCATGCCTGGCAAAGAAAAATGAACCCCAATAGAGTATATGTTGAGACATAAATATTGTATAGTATATCAAACATGTAAAAGTATACCTTAATTAAATAATTTTACAAAGGAAATAATCAATCATTTTAATTAAAAAATATTATATCCGACTGGTTCTTGGTTTGAGTCTGGAGCAAACAATATTAATTTTGAACAAATTTATCCTATCGAAATAATATATAAAGTCTAACTTTGATATAAATGAAAAGAATAAAAATTTTATTTGTTTATTTATTTTACTTCAGCATTATTGGCAGCTACCTCTAGTTAAGAGGTGATCAGTTCGAGACTCCACCAGGAAATTTTTAAAGTTAATGATTTAGATAAGACGAACAAACTCTTAAAATACATTGGTCGATATCAAATGGGCCTGGCTTTGCATTTGGAGATAGGGCCTTCAGGCCCAATTAGCGGTCGCAATAACCCGAGGCCCATACGGAATTACTTCTCCATCGAGGCACAAACCGCCAAGAAGTTGAATAGTTCCCTCTAGCGAACCGGGATCGTCTTCAGAACAGAAGACGATTTCCTCTACAATTTCAACTATTCGATTAATTTTTTTCTTGTTTCAGAAGTCAAAATCATTCTGCAAAGAGATTCTACAATTCAACATCAATGGCGAGCGGTAATCATAGCGTGCTCCGAAAACGATTAGGTGTAGTGGACGTCTGACACGTGTTTGTGAAATTTTCTCACCGAGCTTTGATGAACAACGGCGAATTTGACGTGGACAAAATGGCGTTCAAGATTGCTGTCGCTAATGGAGTTCAATTAATATGTTAACCGCAAGCCAGAAAGTTGGGGAACAATCGTATTGGTGCTGCAATATCGGTACGCTAGGCCTGCTTTCTTATCCTTAGCACTGCCGGATCATGTCGACCATGGAAGCTACATAAACGAACTTCGTGACCTTTATATCCTTAGCATTGTCCAATATATGGTGGATGTTTCCCGGCGTCTCGTCAAACAGTCAAATTCATCAATGGGAGCTGAAAAGCAAACAGCATTATAGTTTGCGTTTAAGCAACAGCAATTATGAGATTGACTGGTAACTTATTTTTATGTTTGGTGTCAAAGAAAATTTCTAAGTTGATTTATTTTTGTTATCTATGAAATTTTCTTCCAGGGGTCGGAAAATTCACTTGTCCACGACGCGATTCAGAATTTTAACAGCCAATTTAGAAATATATGACGTGAGTCAAATCTTCACACGTTTGATGTAAATAATATGTGCTTATTTCTTGCTCTCTTTTGGTCATACTGAGGTTGTTGTTTCGAATTAGAAAGCAAAATTGTTCTTATCGTTTTAGGAGATTCCGTATCGCTCATATGGTTGCATGACGGTCGTTTTCAGGTCGTTTCATTACTTCATCATCATCGTCGTGGAAATGAAGTTTGATTGGTGAGGTAGAATCTTCCCTTGGTGGTCCATGTTGTAAAGTATGCGCGCCACTACTTTTGCACGCTAGGTGTTTGATGAAACGCCTCTGAATAATTTGGTTACCCCCCGGCATGGTTCTTTCATTTTTTTAATGCGAAAAGTCTCCACTAATCATAAGATTGAATTATCTCCTCTGACCGGTCAGTAATCTCTATTATAGGTTGTAGGCTCGAGTTCCACTTATTGTTTGAATTGTAATAAAAGGAAAAATTATCTCTACTCAGCATCACGCATGTTTTGGTTCCATATGATACAATTACTTCAAAATTTGTGCACTAAGAGTCAAAATCAGACCAAAAATTTTACTTTTTATTACAACTTAACATCTTTATCCTAACCACCCATTTGCACCCCATGGGGAAGTAAGCTGATTTGCACAACTTTTTGAATTCTGTTTGGATACTTATTGCAAAGAGTCATCGAAATTTTAGTCCAATAATGATTAAAAGTTATTATTAAATGAAACTGTTTGTCAAGTTTGCTTTCTGTTGGCAGAAATGTTGGACTAAAACTCCAATGGCACAGGTTCAGCCCCTGGAAATTGGTTGAAGGGTCAGCAATCGGAGGACATAAAGGCGCTGATCTTAAACGACAATTCATTAGATTAAGTCTAAAGAGTCTGCAGAAGAAGCATAAAGCCATGCTGTTCTCTAATTGTTTGACATTATTTTGCTGCCTTACTTGCACACAGGGGAAGGAATCAATGGGCAGCTGGATTCAACGTTTAATTACTTTTGCCCGTTTTAATTTGAAACAAGAAGAATGCCATCCCCTGAAATGGATGACAGGTAAGACTATCAAGTTTATACAGTTTTTCTGCCTCCCAAACATACACAAAAACCTTAAAATAAGCTCATCTTTTTATTTTTCTTAATGGAAAACCCAACCCCTAGACAGGAAGCATTAGTCAGAGGTTTTGTATGATTTAGAGTGCTGTTTGGGAATATTAATGATATGAAACTGTTTTCTATTTTCGTAACAATATTTTACTGTTTAATACAGTAATCCAGGTTGGATAGTCAACTTTCTACACTCGTTTTTGGTTGAGTTGTTCCGTAAGATCCTTAGCTTGACGAGAAGTTCTTTGAAGTTTGAACCGGGAATGAAGAGTAAGAATTCATATTTAGTAATGGGATTTCTTTCAACTACTACTTCGTAAAACAATTTTGAATGATTGTTATCTTGAAAATACACCCAATATTGTTGTTAGTTTTATAAATTATATTAGATGGTGCAAGTAAAAAAAAATTGGAGAGCTGTAAATCCAAATTTGGACAACTTTCTGTTAGATATTTTTGTTTAGAATTGCTCTGTGTACGATAACCATGAAGAAGGAAGAAACAAGCTAGTGCAATCTTGGTATATTCCGGATTCTAAGTTATATCACATGACAAAGTATACGAGTTTGTTCCTTTCTCGAAAACAGAGCTTATCATCATGTGTCGAAGCAAATTGATACTTGATAGGAGCATTTTTTTACGTCAGCAAGTAAAAAAGTATTTTCAGAAAAGGAAAAAGGAAACCCATAAATTTGGCTATGTCCCCACCATAACTGAAGATCTAGGCTTGGAAATGAAATGACTATAATGTCCAACATTGTATATATATGATGATGATGATATGAAGAATATGGGAGTTGTATTGTTGTATATCAGCCATGCATTTGCATGTACGAAATACACTGTGGCTGTAGCGCACGTTTCATTTTGTTGTCTCAATGGCCACACACACATCCACACCCACACCACACATGGGGCTGGTCTATTACTGTGCCTCCATATGCCTCTTCCATTTTTTTCGTTATAATTTTCTATCATTCGAAAGGGAAATTTCATCCATTGAAATGACACCAAGTTCAATATTCCCCCCTCCCCACAGAAAAAAAGAAAAAAGAAAAAAGAAAAAAAGTCCCTATCTAAATATATTACAAAAGATCCCAATTTCAGTTAATCCCAATTTTTACCTAAAATCATACAAAATAATAGGCTTTGAAGAAAAATGGAGATAATTATAATATATAGTATATCTTCTTCCTAAGAAATCCTAATTATACTCTTATATATCTTATCTAATTTTGTGTGTCTTTATTTTTCTTCTCTTATTTTTGAACAGGTGATTCTTTGAGAAATTCAGGACCTTCCTCACGTATGGCTGTGTGGATTGCATGTGCGAAGACATGATCGCTGCCTTTTCCTACCAAGTCCTTGGCTTTGATTGACTCCATTTCCCAATCTGTATTGAACACCACTATTAAGATTGAGACCACACATGCCATCTGAGCTGCCAATAGCCCATAGCAAAGACCCACAAACCCAAATTTCCAAACAAACGCCGACACGACGGCCACCGGCGCACCCACCAAGTAAAATGAACAGAAGTTTATTCCGGCGCCGGTCCCCGGCCTCGCACTTCCTCTTAGAATCCCGCAGCTTGTTGTTTGTGGGCAATTTGCCAGCTCGCAGAGTCCGATTATGGGAAGGACCGCCACTGTCAGCTCTAGAATTTCCTCGTCTTTTGTGAAGATTCTTCCCCATGTCCTTCTGCCGATGGTGGTCAGTGAGAGGCCCATTAATGAACCCACCAAGGCCAATCCGATTGCCACTACCGTCGCGAGTCGGGCCTTTCTGGGACGGCCGGCGCCGAGCTCGTGGCCGACTCTGGTCGAGACGGCGGCGCTGAGGGCCGTCGGCAATGTGTACATTAGCGAAGTTGTTTGGATGACAATGCCTGAAGTCGCGAGTGCAACCTGCGGGTTATGGAGGTAGCCAGTGAGGATGGTCATGAACTCATACCACCACCATTCCAAGCAAACTCCGAGACAGCTGGGAATGGCGAGCTTGATCAGCATTCCCCATTCCTCCCCCACCGTGGCGGCGGCGGTGTTGGCAGTGGCTGTGCTGCTTTTCAGTGGCACAAACAAATTAGCCTCCTTGGAGGAGGTACTACGAGTGCAGAATATCAAATAGAGTAGAAGGAAGAAAAGGGTGCTGAAATTAGCTATAAAGTTGGAGATTGCAATCCCACGGATGCCGAGATCAAGAGGGAAAGTCAAGAAAATGGCGATGGGGACATGTAGGAGAATAGCCAACAAATTGCACCACATGACAAGCCACGTGGTACCTTTGTTTCTTAGGTAAATACGGAGAGGGTGAAGTAGGCTGTTCAAGATCAAATCAGGGACAGCGAAACGGCAATACATGGCGGCGATTCTGGTGATTTCGGGGTTCTGGTGGAGGGCCAACATCAGAGGCTCCAAATTGAGCCAAAGAAAGCCAATGGGGAGAGAAGCAAAGAGCAAAATGAGAACCGTTCTTTGCAGAGTCAGAAAGGCAATAGAGGAATTGTGGGAGCCGAAGGCCTGGCTGCAGAGTGGCTCCATGCCCATGGCGAGGCCGGAGAGAACGGAGTAGCCGGTGATGTTGGTGAAGCCGATGGCTAAGGAGCCGGCGGCGAGGTGGAGAGTGCCGAGTCTGCCCATGCAAATCACGGAGATCATGTTCTTGAGATAGCCCACTAAGCCCATTGCCATGACAGGGAAGCCGATGTCAGCCATTTGCTTCAGCTCCTCCAGGACCTTGAAAAGCAAGAGAGAGAGGAAGCAAACGCAAACAAACAGGTAAGCAATCAATTTATTATATATACACAATGGGGGCTATTATATTATTCTTTCTCTGGGGGGGAGGTTTCTTTTAAGAATTCGTACCTCTGGCATTGTCGGGTACTTTCGGGACTTCTCTTCTGCAACCATATTTTTTCCTTCCTTTGCCCCTTGGTGTGTTTCTTTTCCCTGTGCTGAGGAGAGAGAGAGAGAGAGAGAGAGAGAGAGAGAGGAGAGAAGAGAGAGCAAAGTGAGTGTTGGGCATGCAAGAAAAGATTTTAATTTATAGAGATGGGAATTGGACCATTGGTGGGGGTCTCTCTTATGCGTCTAGTGACACACATTCTCTCTCTCTCTCTCTCTGGAAAATGCACAAAGGCCCTTCTTTCAATTTTGCTCCCCATTCAAAGTTAGTTATTTCAAAGCCTAGGATCGGAAGAAGAAATACCCAATATTTTATTTGTTATGTGTTTTTTTTTTCCATGAACCGAACCATAAGTAGAATTATGTGAAAGTTATGTGATATTGTGGACTTGGGAAAGTTCAAACTTATTTTTCAGTTTTTATTTTAGTCCAAGATTGAACTATTATCAAATACTGATACGTGCCTGTCTATTGAATTATGCTCAAATTTGCTTGTAACGAAAAGTCTAAACTAAATATTAGCTTAATTTTACATGTCATATTTTGCTCCTTTTTGACCATGCAGTACTGTCTTTGTAAAAAAGTGATAGTGTTTGAAAATTTTGAATTCTAGGCATTAAAGTGGGGTTGGTTGAGAATTTGAATTTTCAATAAGATTATTGGTATTTTAACTAGTTGAACTACGTCGAAGTGGACATGAGTTGAGTTGGTATAACTTTGGAGGTGGGGAAATTGAGTGAATATTTGATACACATGTTGTTTCGAGTGGGTTAGTTTCACAAACTTCACAATGATAGTTGAAGGTAGAGATTCAAATTTCTGACCTCCTTTAGTAAAGTTATAATGTTTTAATAAGTTGAGCTAGATTCAAATTCTCTTAAACTACATGTCTATTCTATAAAATTATAAATTCGTGAATCAAATATAATGTTAGAATTCAAAAAGATTATACAAATTCAAGCCCATGTTCATTAAAATTGCAGACCAAGTAAATATCCCAATAGGCTCTTTTTGTGGCCAAAGTTAGCACTAAGGTTAATGTGGGGCTTTTATTGCTTGTTTCGTATAGAGCATGTATTTCTTGTTTAAACCATGTGATAATGTTGAAAATAGCATACAAAATGCCTATATTTTTTTATGGAATTTTGGCACTTTCCAAAATTAAGGGAAACATATCAACTCATCTCTTTGTAAAAGGATCATGCTTATAAGTTAAAAATCTTTTTAATAAAAAAATACCTTGATTTTTCTTCACGTGGGAAATAGTGGAGCCACATTTATTGTTATATAGCCTTCCTTGTGGGAAGATTGGTAGCTTGCTAATCACTCTTTTGATTCGTTTGTTTGATGGGTTTTTGGTTCCATAATTATCCCATAATTTGTTTTAGTTTGTCCCACACGTAACATTATCATGAATTATGAATAAAAACAATATAGTTAATTTGGTGAACAGTATGGAAAATTCTTTAATTCGAACATCATTATCACGTAACGTCTCACAATAGCTAATGTAGTAGATTCGAATCTCTATCTATTGAACTAAAAAGGAAAAAAAAAATCATTTTACCTAAACTTATCTAGAGATGTTTTAAGTTGTATTATGATTTTGTTCTTGATCGTTACATCTGTTTCTAAAGAAACATGGATATTTTGATTTTGTGGGGAAAAAAAAATCTCTCACCCATATTGAAAAGGAGAGAGAAAGCAAAAAAGAAGTGGACCTTTCTTGTTTGAGTTGCAACTTTCAAAGAGAAGAATATATGGTAACTGAGCTGCCTAAGAGAGATGGGCAAATGGCAATGCATTTTCTTGGCCAAAAGTTTGGTTATATATACAAATCAACAGTCAATTAAACTTGTCACAGCACCACATGCTATCTTCTTATAATTAAAGTCAGTGCTTTGTACAGCCAATATAAGGCAGATTTCAACAGCCTAAATTGTGGGGGTCGTTGTATTTCCCTTTATAGCTTTCCTTACACTATCTCTCTCTCTTTCTCTTTCGCTTTTTCCGATCCAACGCCACGATTCGTTATCTTTTGACAATTAGGCATCAAGGGTCTATCCAAACCGTGTAAATTCAGATATCATTGAAGTTATGAGTTTAAATTATGACAATTACGGCCATTTATAAGTCTCAATTGTCTTGTAGTACGCATGTGAAACTGCTCCAAACATTGACAATATAGTATTTTGTGCCGTGAAAGTGGGACCAACAATTAGCAAAACGGACGGCTATTAAATTCAAATATAATTATTACAGTGAACTGTACATTTGAAATATTAAATATATTACGAGTTTTTGTTATCTCTGTGAAGACGTCAGACAGTTGTTTTGTGGAATCAACGATGATGGATGTAAATTGCCCCGAGCACTGACAACATAATATTTTGTGACGAGAAATTAGAGGGGTGGGGGCTGGGAGGGCTAGAGATGAGTTGCTTTTTTGTTAGGGTCAAAAGGGGTGCCCTTATTCCAGAGGGTAAAAAGTCCCCTTTCCAAGCAAAATCTGATACGAAAAAGGAGAATAGGAAAAAAGAAAAAAAGGGTTCATTATTTAAAACCCTATTGAACTGAAGACATTAATGCCAAATTTAATTTAGAAAAGAAAAAATAAAACTAATTGTATTTAATTTAATGCCTTTTTCTGGATATCTTGATTGCTTAGGTTTCTCACATAACTAACGTCCTTTTAGAGCAATCAAATTTGCCTCTTATTTTCATACCAATCACAATGCTCGCTCCCACAATTATTAATTTTCCCACCAATTAATCATGTAACAACTATCATTGTTAATTTCTTTTTTAATGGGTACACTTTTGCTTTCGTTGAATGAACAATCAAATTTGCTCTGTTTTTTATTTCTCAGAATTGATGCCACACGGTTTATGTCAGTGGGTCTCTATAATCGAGGCTCGTTGCTTGAATTGAGCAACACTGTGACCAACATATAACTCGAACTTGAAATTCTCTAGATAGATAATATCTATCTTAAAACCTCAAAATTACTTTGTGAATAAATACTATTCTATATTGAAATTTTCATCTCACAATCGAATTGATATACTCGGTTGGCTAGTAATCTAACATGTTAATTGCCACAAAACTCTAAAGGATATAGTTATAATTTTATTAAGCATCAAGTTTGAAACTCCGAGTCTCTATAATCTATATTTTAGTTATACACATAAGTAAATTATACCTACATAAAATATAAAAGTTGGACATAAGTTTATGAAACGTTCAAGATAAAGTAGATGCACATACCAAACATATATAGACTCAACTTCTTAATCAATCTCGAGTAATTTGTGAATGAAACATGGCCGGGTTTCAAATATTTGGATAGCCTAAACTCTAATCTAAGGAGAGAGAGATGTACTGTTGTTTTTTATTTTAATGTCACAGTTAGACAAGACCATCCATGTGCATCAACCTAGGTTAAACAAAACATCAATAATTATTTGATCACCCACTAGGGATAATATTGTCTATGCAACAAAAAAAAAAGAAAAGAAAAAAAGAAAAAGATTGCATTCCATCACTTCTTCATATATATAACATGTCTTTCCATTAAGAGAGAGGAGATTTCTTACCTTACTTCTTAGTTAAATAAGCATTCAGAGAGGGAGAGAGAGAGAGATTGGTTGGTGGAAACGAAACGACAGCGTATCGAACTGTCACAATCCTCCTCTAGTTTTGGCCAAATAAATATAATATAATATAATATATTTGATGGATTTTTGTTGTTAAGAATGCAATCAGGCAACCAATGGGAAGAGCTCGAACCACCGACACCTTTTTTGCCTTCTCCCGCAATGAGTGACAAACCGCCATACTTTTACCATTAAATTTATTATTCCCCAACCATCTCACATCTCAAATTACCTTCTCATCAAAACCATTTTTTCTCCGCATACTTTTTTGGTTTAATTTAGCAACGAGAAACAAGAAGCGAGGAATTTCGATCACTGATATGCAGTAGCCAATACAATAAGTTAAAGAGAGTATTGAAACTCGTAATATAAACGAGACATTTTCTTTTAGATTTGGAAGCGAAGAGTGTTATAGTTCAAGAAAATGTTGTTAAGATATCTATAAATGATTAGATCTACTTTAACTCATAAGCTTAAGTTTTTAGATCCATTGATGATTTAACATGATATGGCACAAGGAAGTCTTGTATTCATACTAAGAAAAAATGTTAAAAGATATCTCAGGTAGGAGTAGGGGATCGAACTTACAATCTCTTGATTAGGGATATATGTCAATCATCGTCGAGCTGCTCACTTTGGTACAGTGTGGAGGTGATTCGTTAAAGTTAAGGTTGTTGGTTTTTGAAAGAAATTAAAAGGCTACTTATATATAAAAATTATCAATATAGTCTGAAATGATCAATGTTAACCTTTGCTAAACACATGAAACTTTCATTCAGATTAGATTAAGAAATTAGGCTAAGGACGATAATTGTTTGGGAAAAAGATTTTTTTCATTTATTATTATTTTTAGTACAGTAAAGAGAGATGAAGATTTAAACTCATGACCTAGAGAGACTAATGCTAATTATTGCTTAGTTAACTTCACATTGGTTTTATATTTTTGTTTTAAGAATTATGGTTAAATGTGATGCGTAAAAAAAATCAATTAACCTCATTCCACCCTTAAAATCTCTATTCACAAAGTCTATGATATGATATCGAAGGTTACTGTAAACCAACTTTAAACTCAAATTTCTTTTTAAAAACGAGAAATTATAGCTTAGAAAAGAGACTAGACTGTTCTTCCATCTTTTATCTTAGAAACTATGATTCATTAAATAATGTGTAAACTAAGACTATTTCAAAAGTTTATGATATTGAAAGTTTCCAAAACATACTTTGATTATTGAATTTATAATCCTAAAAAAACAGACAACTATGTTGGAAAAATGGTTTTCTAGAGGCACCATCATTCACTTGCCCACCTTATATTATATTGCTTTCCATTAATTAAGCAAGACATAAAATTCTTTCCATAGGAAAAAAAATAAAAAAAGGTTAAAAAATAGACCTTAGGAAGAGCTTTTTATAGGCTTCTAGGAGCACACAATTTTGTAGTCAAAAACCAAGTTGATTCAATAGATTTTGTAGATCTTAGGGATAATAATTAATCCTTCATGGGGGGCCATGAATTGGACATAATTAATTTTTCCAAATAGAAAAATATTGCACTAAATTAATATTCCTCTTTTTTGTTTTTAGTCAACCTTCTTAATTCTTTCATATTTGAAGCCCTAAAGTGGGGAAAATTGGAGAGTGTGGAGAAATCCAAAAGATTGTCCACATTGCTTGGTCTCTTCCTCTTCCATTCCACTTACTAAAAGTTGAATCTTTTAGTCAAAAAATCAAGATTGTCATGCTTTAAACCTTTTGACTAATGTATT